GGGAATAGAATCACTAATATTATGACAGTGTGGGACGGTGTCAGATGGTTGCTGGACTTATCATGGGGATCACTTCGTTAGGTATACACATGCTGAATAACTATGGTGTGCACCTGAAACTAATATAATATTGTATGTTAGCTATATTTTAATAAAATCTTTAAAAAAATAAAATTGGAAAGAAAAAAACCCCAATATTATTATCTAAGCTACAGGCTGTGTTCAGATCTCTCCACCTGCTACAACCCTGTTCTTTAGTTCTTTACAGGTACAGCAGTGTCTCCCCACCCTGGGCCCAGCCCCAGGGCCCCACTGCATTCAGCCGCCACATCGGCCGGTCTCCTTTCTCCTGTCTGGGCTTTCTGTGTTTTTCACGACCTTGACGTTTGGAGAGAGGACGGGCCAGTTGTTTTACAGATTGTTCCCCCACGTGAGTCTCATAGTTTTGGGGCTGCACTCCTCTAAAGGAAGACCTCCTGTTTTCTGCCCCCAGGACCTGGGAACCAACGAGAGAGACCCCTGTCAGCAATCCGGAAACCAGTGCTGGAGGCTGAGGACCCACAGGAAGCTGCCTCCGCTGTGCTCAGAGCCATCCAGGTGGAGAATGAAGCCCTGCACAGGGCAGTCCTGAGCAGAAGGGCCGAGCCCCCCGCCAGCCTGCTGCAGGTACGTTCAGGGCTAAGGGAGGGACCCAGGAGGACTTGGCCACCCGGGGGCTTGGTGGTGTCTGAGCAGTGCGTGCCCAGGGCATGTGGTGGGCAGAGGGACAAAGGCATTCCTGACCTTACGCTGCTCTGTGTGCCCTCTGCTTAATGCTCAGTCATTCGCTCACCTGCCAAAACCCCCCTTTCCTCCCCCTGCTCCCCCTGTTTACTGCAGAAAGCCCGAGTTGGAGGCTAATATGCCTCCAGTCCTTGCCAATGTCCCTGCAAACCCTGATGCTTTAGACCAGCGGTTCTCAACCTTTCACAGGGGTCGCCTAAGACCATCGGAAAACACATATTTTCGATGGTCTTAGGAACCAAGACACCGCTCCTCTATCCGTCTCCAGGCCCACATGCAGATATGCCCACATACAAGTACCCGGCGACCCCTGTGAAAGGGTCTTTCGACCCCCAAAGGGGTCGCGACCCACAGGTTGAGAACCGTTGCTTTAGACTAAAGCTACAACCTGAGGGTCAGAGAAAGAATGGATAAACGACAACCCCTGGCTTCTTTGGAAAGATCTTCCTCAGAGCTGGAGCCCAGCAGGCCCCCCGCATTCTCACGCGCCCTGCAGTCCTTTCCTGGCCCCGCTGCACCTGTTCAGGAAGCCTCCTGGCCCTAAGGTTGTCTGAGTTTGTGCCGGCTGCCTTGGGCATGGAGCCACAAACAGGAGGAGAAATGGCGGGTGGGGTAGTGCCCCCTGGGGAGCCGGAGGCCTTAACACACCTGAGAGCACGCATCGTTTCTCAGAAGCCTGTTCCCTGGCTCACTGGCTGGAACCCTTTGTCGTAACGAGTCCCACTTGATGCTCACAGCCTCCCTGAAATGGGCAGCGCTGGTTTCATGACCCCGTTACCCATGTGCCGGATGGTACCCAGAGAAGCAAGGTGGCTCACGCAGGTCACATCTTTGGAAGTGGCGAAGGTGTGCCTGTCGGAAAGTCCAGGGCCCTGCACACCACCAGTTTTCCCAGGACCTGTGGTGGCCAGCTCTCAGGGATGTTCATCGAGCAGCACCTGCTGCCTGTTTTCTCAGAGCTCGGGCCTTGGCCCTGACATCTGTGTCTATGAGACCTGAGACGGTCCCTGTGCCTCTGTGACCTCGTCGGTCAGTGAAGCGGATGCAGTGGATGGCTTTGTTCTGACCTCAGATCATGTGATTACATCATTCCAGGACACGGAGAGATCACCAGCCCAATCACGGACCAGTCTGCTGAAGGAGCAGGAAGAGAGCCCTGAGGTCAGTGAAGGCCGGAGGGGGACGGCAAAGCCCCACGCCCCCAGCGCCTGACGGCCTCCAGTCCCAGCAGGTCCTCCCTGGGCTCCCTGAGTGATGTCATTCCACCCATTTCACAGATGCAAAGACCTGGCTGGAGTGGCCAGGGTTCTCAGCCAGGCCTTCTGCCTCCAATCCCTTGTTACGTTATTACTTCCCAACAAGACAACACACAAAAAACAGTATTCTGAATAAATAAATTATAGCTGTATCTAGGTCAGTTAGGTCTATCGCAGCAAAGACAGCGCCCTGCAAATATGGATGTGAATGAAGAAAATGCCCAGGAATGTCTTGGTTAATTGTGCAATGGTCTGTGCCTTGTGCTCAGAATACTGTTCATATTAGCCGCTGGCCTCCTGGAGCTTGTAGACAACAAGCAAATAAAGCCATAAATACACAGGTGACTTCAGAGAGCCATCACATAAAAGCTACCTCTGTGTGTCCCTGCTTAATGCTCAGTCGTTCACTCAGGGTGGTCCGGGGAAGCGTCTCGGAGGACGTCCCATTTAAGTTGAGCCCTGTCTGGTAAGAAGCAGCCAGCGAGCAGCAGGGAACAGCATTCCGGGTGGAAAGAACAGAGGGAAATCTTTAAAGTGGGAATTAGATGGCAGGAGCAAAAAGAAACCTGATTTGTGGTGGGGAAGGAAGAGGGGGCAGGAGAGGAGAGGGCACCCAACTGGGATAGAAGGGTGGTCGGGGCAGCACCCCAGAGCACTGTAGTGGTTTCCCTTTTGTATCCCCCCTACTTGTTCTGTGATTTCGTGCTCACCTTAAACTGCTGCCCCCCAATATTTCCGACGGGTCTGCAACACCGCCCAGCTCATGGTCTAGGATTTCTGACCCCTGACCCACAGAGTTTCCAATGACTAAAATCAATTGCACAACGTATTTCTAATTTAGATATCTATGAAAAAGAAGGGGAAAAGGCGAAAGGGCCTAATGATGTTACTGGAATTCTGTTACTTTGTAGCAAACAGTGCCGGGGTTGAATTGAGATGGTGAAAGGTGTTGATG